CCTCTGTCTGGCTTCCTGGCTTTTAATCCCCTTTCTCCTGCTCTTCTGCCCTGCTGTTTTGTGCGTCCCTGAGTTGTCCCTGTGGCTGACTGCTCCAATGTCCGGGTTCCTGGCTTTTTACCCCCTTTCTCCTGCTCTTCCATCCTGAAATAGGTTTAGCATGTGACTAAAAGAAAACTTATGGTGCACTGAGTGGAACCTAATCAAAAAAGTTTGTAAAAGACAGTCTCAAGAACTTTATTTATTACTGAATGTTCAGCAGCTAGCTTACCATCCTACATGTATTCAGTAGTCAATAAATACATACCATTTGGAAGAAGCTTTTAGAGAAGAAACAAAAGGAAAAAAGATGGCAGTGATGACAAGAAACAAAGTGACAATAAAAACAGAGAATATAGTAATATTGAGAGGACTTCCTAAAGGCAATATCTAAAGACTGAAGACCCTGCAAGTATTCTTTGTTTCCTGATTTCAATGTGTAAAAGTTATAGTGATGTTTTAAAATGATTAGTACCAAGAATTGAATTTTCTTTGATTTTCTATAACCCACCTATAGTTTGCTCTAAGTTAGTATTGTCACTGTAACATAAAAAGAAAATGAAAATCTCCCAAAATAACTTTTAAAAAATTTTGCAGAGCTGCAGCCCGATGTAACAAAGGCATAGAAGTACTGTTCGCAGTGGCCCTGGAACATTTTGTATTGGTTGTTGTAAGAGTTTTGAGGGGGCCTACCTCAGCAGATGAAACAGCCAAGAAGATACAGTACCTGATACATTGTCAGTGGTGTGAAGAGAGAATTTTTCAGAAGGATGGTAATATGGTAGAAGGTAAATTCAAATTTCTTTTGAATAGACTGTATATATGTGTAAGCCTCTAATGAATAAGTTTTTTTCATATCCCTAATTACACATATTATTGTCCTTCGATTTTAAAGATTACAGTGCTAACTTTGTTATTTCGTATATTGGATTTCCTTTCATCAACAGACAAGACAAGTGTGAGTTTATAAAATTATTTATTCATGCTGTACAATATAATATATGCTCTGTAGCCCTGCACTTTACTGAAACATCTAGAAATAACTTAGTTTCTACTGTCACTAATTTTAGGAAGGTAAGTCAGATTACCTCTTGGTCTAGGCTGTTCAATTCATTAATTTTATAAAAATAATATTCATGCTTCTGGCCGAATAGAAAAGCCATCAATTATAAAATTCATTCGGTAAACATATATTAAACCTTTTCTATATGCCAGGCCTGGGTATACAAAGAAAAAGATGTGACTCATATCCTTATAAAACTGTTTGTATTTTGCTTGCATGGGAAGTAGAAACATTTATTCATTGTTTTCTATTAGGTTTCTGGATATTTTTTAATATGAATTTTTCAGAGCTATGTATATATAAGAGTTTAGCCATTGTGATAAAAAATAATAAATTTTTTTTTTAGTTTGTCACTTATATTTGTATCTGTTATTTTTTTTAATTGCCATACAGAAGTTTTGTTGTTGTAAAGTTAATGAAACGTTTTCTTTTATGTATGCTGGGTTTTATCTGTATTTAGAAAGAACTTTTTTATTCCTAGATCATCCAAGAATTCTCTCATGTTTTATTGAATGTATTTGAATTTGTTTCCAGATTTTCTGTTGTTCAAGTGGTCAGTATTCATATAGTACATACTTTGTTCATACAGTGCATATAGTATTCATACAGTGGTCTGTTCCTACACCTGTAGCACTCTGTTTTGATTACAGAAGGTTTTTTGTGTTGTTAATATCTAGTAAGGCCATCCCTCCTGAAAATTCTTAATTTTCAGAGTATTCCTGTGTTTTTGTTTTTGTTTTTTAATTTTGTTTCTTAATAAAAGGGTAATTAAATGAACCAAACTTAGTACCATTGAGTCAATTCTAACTTATAGCGATCCCCATTGGGTTTCCAAGGCTGTAAATCTTTACAGAAGCAGACTGCCTCATCTTTGTTCTGTGGAGCACCTGGTAAGTTCGAACCACCAACTTTTTGGTTAGCAGCCAAATGTTTTAGCCACTATACCACCAAACCTCCTTTTAATTAAATAAACCAGCTGCTGTTTTATTTTGATTACATTAAATTAGGAAGGATAGAAATTATTGTGGTTTTAAAGCTTTCTGTCTTTTTCATATCCCTAATTACACATATTATTGTCCTTCGATTTTAAAGATTACAGTGCTAACTTTGTTATTTCGTATATTGGATTTCCTTTCATCAACAGACAAGCCCAGTATGTTTTACATTTTTTTCAAGAACTTTCAATATAGTAATAATAGGTAAGAGAAACCATCTTTGTCTTCTTCCTTATTTTGCTTCTGTATAGTGCTTTTTCATTTAAACATGATACTAGCTTTTTATCTGTGGTACCTATCTATTACTTACCACGTTAAGGAAGCATCCTTCAATTCTACTTTGACTGTATTTTATCAAGATGTTGAATTTTGTCTTACGGCTCTTCAGCATCTATGGAGATGTGGTTTTTCCTCTTTAGACCTATTAATTTCATTAATTGTAATAAAATTTCCCTATATTGAACAATCTTTGCCTTCCTAGAACAAAATATACTATATCAAGATATATTCTCTTAATGTGTGAATGGATTCTATTTGCTAATTTTTAAAAGGATTTTTGTTTCAGTATTCATAAATGAGATGTATGTAGTTTTCCTTTTTAGCATACTTTTGGTTGGACTTTGGTACCAGTGTTTAAATTCCTTTCAAAAGGAATTTGAAACTTTCCTTTTATCTTCAGTGTTTTGGAACAGTTTGACTAGCATTGGAATTATTCTTTAAATGTTTAGCAGTAGTCATCATGCTTTTCTAATTTATTTATGTAGAGTTGAGCCATATTGTGCCTAATGATTCTTTTTAATTTCTTGGGTTTCTTCAGAGAAAATCTGTACCTTCTGTTCTTGAGTCTTGCCAAAGTTCAACAGCATCAGTGGGCTTGGGAATTTGCTGGTAGCACCTTCACCCATTTTAAGCTTACGCTTTAGCTTTCTACACCTCACTGCCATCAAGTTGATGTTGAGTCATAGTGACCCCTTAGGACAGTGTGGAACTGCAGCATAGAGTTTCCAAGGCTATAAATCTTTACAGAAACAGACTGTTCATCTATCTCCCATAGAGCAGCTGGTGGGTTCAAACCACCAACCTTTTTGTTAGCAGCCCAGTGCTTTAACCACTGCTAAATCAGTTACTCCCGGTATGTCTTATTTCTTGCCTCTAAAATTTTATTGATGTTTCTCATCTGTTGTTGCCTCTTCCGATTTATGTATCCTTGCAGTTTGATTTTTATTACTTCACTGTAATTTTAATGAAGCTTTAAGAGGTAGCAGAAATAAAGTGTATATTCATTGCACTTAAATAGAAGTCTCAGTATATTTTTTAATTCATCAAGAATTGCCTACATAGCTTATATACCAGTGACATTGAAATACTAGTTGTCATTCTTTCCTTGTTGTTAATTGTCATCTGAGTCTTTGCCCTTCCGTTTTTGCTGCCCCAAAACCAAAACCAAACCCATTACCCTCAAGTCATTTCCAGCTCCTAGCAACACTACAGGACATAGTAATACTACCTCATAGGTTTTCCAAAGCTGTAAATTTTTACAGAAGCAGGCTGCTGCATCTTTCTCCCATAAAGCGGATGGCAGGTTCTAACTGCTGACCTTTTGGTTAACAGCAAATGCTTAACCACTGCACCACCAGGGCTCTGTTTTTCTCTATGAGTAACTTGAAAGCCTTGGCCCTTCAGAGAGAATTTACTGTTGCTTATCTAGAACTGAGATATCCTAGCAGAAGGGCTTGGGTAAAGACATAGGTTTGTATGATGGCAGCATTTTGCAAAGAACACCGAAATACAGATTGATTGAGACAAGTTCATGTGTTTGCTGCCTGCCTGGGGTAAGGGGATGTAACAGACAAAACCATAAATAATAAAGTGTCCTAAGTTATATAATGACTGTCTATAATTATTTGTAGTTTAGCTATTTAGTGGTTCAAGGGAAGTCTTCTTGATTATAATCAGGTTTAATGTTTGAGATACATAATTCTCAACAAAGGTTACTCTGTTATAAGTCAGTTCTGACCTAAGTCATGTACATTTTTTTCCTTAGTTTTCATTATTACTGCCTTTCATTATCTTTATAAATCCAATCTTTAAACATCTATGAGAGAACATTTGAGAATGATAGCATCAGTAATATGCACTGCAACATTGTATGTAGTATGTATTACTAATGATACAATGTACAGAAAAATAAAGAGATGGTCATAAGTGCAGTTCATCTTAACTTAAAACCAAACAAACCAAACTCACTGCCCTGAAGTTGAACCCAACTCATAGCGACCCCTCCTTGGGTTTCTGAGGCAGTATCACTACAGAAGTAGATTGCCCCATCTTCCTTCCGAAGAGTGGCCGGTGGGTTTGAACCACTAACAGAATGATATTATCTAATAACAAACTATAAAACCTATTTTCCTACCACCAAAATTCTGGATTCTGTGTGTGTGTGTATATATATGTATGTATGTGTGTGTGTGTGTGTATATATATATATGTATGTATGTGTATGTGTGTGTGTGTGTGTGTGTATATATAAAATAAGACTTACTGATCAGTTCAGGCCATTATCCAAGAAGGTGAATAATCAACACAGGAATGACCTGGAGTGGAGAAGTTAGTTGGAGAGGATCAGATTTTAAATGACTATTCTGGACTTTAAAGAGATCTTTTGCAGCACATTTGCCAAGTGTAATATGTCATTTGACTTCTTAACTGCTCCTTCCATCGGTGTTGATTGTGAATCGAAGTAAAATGAAATCCTTGATAACTTGTCTTGTCTTTATTTATTTTGATATTCCTTATTGGTCCAGTTGTAAGGACTTTAGTTTTCTTTATGTTGAGGTATATAATCTGTAGTGAAGACTAGTCTTCAGTCTTCATCTATAAGTACTTCAGTCCTTCACTTTCAGCAAGCAAGGCTGTGTCATCTGCATATCACAGGTTGTTAATGAATCTTCCTCCAATCCTGACACTACTTTCTTCTTCATGTAGTCCAGCTTCTTAGATTATTTGTTCAGTTTACAGATTGAATATGCATGGTGAAAGAATACAACTCTATTGTACAACTTTCCTGATTTTAAACCATGCAGTGTCCCCTTGTTTATTCGAACGACTCCTCTTGGTCTTTTACAGGTTCCATGTGAGCACAAGTAAGTGCTCTGGGATTCCCATTCTTCTCAGTGTTTCCCATAATTTGTTATCATCCATCCACACAGCAGCAGTCAGGAAATCAAATGGTGTATTGCATTGGACAAATCTGCTGCAAAAGATCTCTTTAAAGTGTTAAAAAGCAAAGATGTCACTTTGAAAATTAAGGTCTACCTGATCCAGGACAATGGTATTCTCGGTTGCTTCATGTGTGTGTGAAAGCTGGACAATGAATAAGGAAGACCGAAGGAGAATTAATACAGTTGAATTATGGTGCTGGCAAAGTCTACTGAATATACAGTAAGAACAAATAAATCTGCCAGAAGAACAAACAAATCTGTCTTGGAAGAAGTACAGTGAGAGTGCTCCTTAGAAGTGAGGATGGCAAGACTTCAGCTTACATACTTTGCCATGTTATCAGGAGGATCAGTCGCTGGAGAAGGACATGATGCTTGATTAAATAAAGCGTCAGCAAAAAAGAATACCCTTAATAAGATGGGTTGACACAGTGGCTGCAACAGTGGGCTCAGGTGTAACAACGACTATGAGGGGATAGTATAGGACTGGGCAATATTTCGTTCTGTTGTACATAGGGTCACTAGGTGTTAGAACCAAGTCAGCAGCACCTATCAACCACAATTGTGGACCTTGTGTGAACTAAAAAGTCACATAGATTATTTGTTCTATATTGTCGACCAAGAATAGTGCTAGTGTCTCTGCAATTTCCTTGTGATTCTACCAGGTCTCTCACTTCTCTTTAAATTGAATTGTGGTGTATCCATACAGTGGAATATGACTAAGTCATAAAAAGGGTAAACTAGTAATAAATGCAACAAAATAGAAAAAAATCTCAAAAATACTATGTTGAGTAAAAAGCCAAACACAAAAGAGTACATACTACATGATTTCATTTATATGAAACTATGTCTATAATGATAGCAGATCCATGATTACCTGGGTCTGGGAGTAAGGTTAGAAATTTATTAGGAGGGAGTACAAGGGAACATTTTGAAGTGATGTAAATGTTCTATATTTTGACCAGGGTGGTGGTTACATGGAAATACATGTATTTTTCAGAATCCATCAGCTTGTTCACATAAAGTTAATACATTTTATTGCATGTAAATTATACCCCAGTCAAGTTGATTTTTAAAATATGAATAGATTATATACTTTATAGGACTTGCTACTACTTAAATTGTTTTATGTAGTATAGTAACTAAAAGCTATCATCATTTATAACCCTAATAAGCTGTTTGACATTGATTGATTTCTACAGCCCCTCTTATGTTGTGATCCTCTGATGTATATAACTGAGATTTTATCCGCACCTACTTGAGAGAGTTGAAAGGATTAATTTTTAAAAAATATATGTAAAATTTTTAGCACAATACCTGGCACATAGTAGATCCTCAGTATACAGTAGCTGCAAATTATTAATATGAAAATTAGTACTAATTTCGTTAGTCATTTCTCCTTTGATTTCTCTGTTATCTTTACAGAAAACCCATATAGACAGCTACCCTGTAACTGTCATGGAAGCATGCCTGGAAAGACAGCGATAGAACTTGGACCTCTTTGGTATGTACCTAAGCATAATAACATGGTCTAAATTAATTTATGTGATGTATTCATTGCTTGTTTTTGGTTACGTGTGGCTAGAGAAGAAAATTTAAATTTTTTTAAGTATAGGCAAATTATGATTCTTTCTCCCCACATGAACCTGAGATGTTACCTATTTTCATATTTTTCTCTACTATTGTTCTCTCTAGTTTGTGACAGTGACAAGAAGCAGTGGGGTAAAATAGAAGTCTGGCTGATCTACAACTAAATAATTCATTTCTAAATGAAATGAGCCTTTTTCAATTGATAAAATTATACAACTAGAGTGTGATTTTAAGGTAATCATGGTAACTTTTTATAGAATTGCCAACTAAGACAAAAAGACACAATGGCAAATATTTCATGTATGTGTGTGTTTTTGCATCATTCACAGTAAGTTACTCTGTTTTTAATGCTTATATTTGAATTGTTTTTAATCACAATCTTTACCTTAAGCTTCTTTGTCATTAGAGATTTCTTGTAGGAATTTGAGATTCCTAATAACATAGTGAATGATCTTCAGCAAAATTTTACTTGTGTGATATTAATGATATTGTTCAATAATTTCCACATTCTGTGGGATCACCTTTCTTTGGAGTGGTGTGTGAGATGGGTTCTCTAGAGAAACAAAAAAAACCAACAAAGCATAGAGAGAGAGAAAGAGAGAGACAGAAATTTATGTTAGGAAATTGGCTCACAAATGTATAAAAGCTGGCAAGTCCAAAGTCCCTGGAGGAAACATCGGGCTGGTGGCAGCCTTAGCTTCCGCAAGCACAGGGGGCCAAGCAACTCAAGGCTGGCAGGCAGTACACTGGTTGTTGACTCCGACGAAAGACAAATCCAAGATCTCCAGGCCGAGTGGTGGGATGCTCACTCACGGAAGGTTGTAGTCAGCACACTAGGGTTCCAATCCCTCAAAGAATGTCTCTCTTCCCAGGATGTCCCTGGATATCCTGGAAGCAGGCCACACCCCTAGGGAAACTCCCCTTGGGCAGATTGGCCACTCAGAACACAATCATCCGATCCCATCATGGGAACAACCACAGAGAACTGGGGTCCAGCCAAGTTGACACACAGCTCCAACTATCACAAGTGGGTACAAATATGGATCTTTTCCAATCAGTTGTCTTCCAAATCTCTTGGCATAACCGAGTGAGTGCCACTAGCACAGCATCTATTTGTTGAAACATCCCAATGGGTATTCCATCAATTCCTAGAGCCTTGTTCTTCACCAGTTCCTTCAGTACAGCTATGACTTCTTCCTTCAATATCATTGGTTCTTGATCATATGCCACCTCCTGAAATGGATGAACATGGACCATTTCTTTCTGTTACAGTGATTCTGTGTATTCCTTCCATCTTCTTTTGATGTTCCCTACATCATCTAATATTTTGCTCATAGAACCTTTCATTATTGCAACTCGAGGCTTGAATTTTTTCCTCAGTTCTTTCAGCTTAAGAAATGAACGTGTTCTTCTTTTGGTGTTCTAACTCCAGGTCTTTGCATATTTCATTCTAATAATTGACTTCGTCTTCTCAAGCATCTCTTTGAAATCTTCTGTTCAGCTCTTTTATCTTTTTATCTTGTCATTTCTTTGATTTGCTTTAGCTACTGTCTATTCAAGGGTACATTCCAAAGAAAGGTGATCCCACAAAATGTGGAAATTATCGAAGAATATCATTAATATCACATACAAGTAATATCTTGCTGAAGATAATTCAAAAATAGTTGCAGCAGTATATTGACAGGAAACTTCCAGAAATGCATGCTAGATTCAGAAGAGGATGTGAAACAAGGCATATCATTGCTGATGTCAGGTGGATCTTGGCTGAAAGCAAAGAATACCAGAAAGATATTTACTTGTATTTTATTGACTATGCAAAAGTATTCGATTGTGTGGATCATAACAAATTATGAATAACATTGAGAAGAATAGGAATTCCAGAAGATTTAATTGTGCTTATGAGGACCAGAACAAGGAGATACTGCATAGTTTAAAATCAGGAATGGAATGTGTCAGGGTTGTATCCTTTCACCATACTTATTCAGTCTTTATGCGGAGCAAATAATTTGAGAAGCTGGACTATATGAAGAGCGTGGCCTCAGGATTGGAGGAAGACTCACTAATAACCTGTGATATACAGACGACACAACTTTGCTTGCTGCAAGTGAGGATGACTTGAAGCAATTACTGATGAAGATTAAAGACTACAGTCTGCAGTATAGATTACATCTCCACATAAAATGAAAATGGACCAAAAGCAGCATCACAATAAATGGACCAAAAGCAGCATCACAATAAATGGAGAGAAGATTGAAGTTGTCAAAGATTTCATATTACTTACATCCACAGTCAACACCAATGGAGCAGTCAAGACATAAGATGACGTATTGCATTGGGCAGATGTGCAAAAGACCTCTTTAAAGTGCTGAAGAGTAGAAATGTCTCTTTGAAGACTAAGGTGTGTCTAACCCATACCATGGTATTTCAGTTGCCACATATGCATGAGAGAGCTGGACAGTGAATAAGGAAGACTGAAGAAGAGTTGATGCTTTTGAATTGTGTTGACGAAGAATGCTAAGAGTACCATGGTCTGCAAAAAGGACTAACATCTGTCCTGGAAGAAGTACAGTCGGAATGCTCCTTGGAAGGGAGAATGGCCATACTCTGTCTGACTTATTTGTTGTCAGAAGGGATCATTTCCCAGAGAAGGATATCATGGTAAAGTGGAGGGTCAACGTAAAAGGGGAAGGCCCTCAATGAGATGGATTGACACAGTGGCTGCAACAATGGGCTCAGATATAACAAGGATTGTGAGGCTGGCACAGGACCAGGCAGTGTTTCATTCTGTTATACATAGAATCACTATGAGCTGGAGCTGACTTGACGGCACCTGACAGTAACAGCAGCAACAACAACAACATAGTGATGAGAATCATTGCAAATTTCCACCTTATCACTTTACCAGTTTGAGGATTAGTTGTCTACTAAACGTAAAAATTGACCTAAATGGTAAATATCTTTGTGTTGATGCCTATGATTTTTATCTAAAGCACATTAAATACCCTTAGATTAAGAATGGTTTAGCTAGATGAAGAAAGTAAAACGACAACCTGCAAAATGGGAGAAAACTTTTTGAAACCATAAAGCTGATAAGGATTTAATATTTCAAATATATAAAGAACTCATATAGCTTAAACAGCAAAATGACAGACAACCCCAATTTACAAATGGGAAAATGACTTGAATAGATAGTTCTCAAAAAATATATGTATAAATGGTCATTACATACATGAGAAGATATTCAACAGCATTAGTCATTAGTTGCTGTCAAGTTGATTCCAACTTATAATGACCCTGTTGTTGTTATGTGTTGTTGAGTTTGACCCAACTCCTACCTAGCGACTCCTCCTTGGGTTTCCAAAACAGTTATCACTACAGAAGTAGATTGCCCAACCTTCCTTCCGAGGAGTGGCTGGTGGGTTTGAACCGCCAGCCTTCTGGTTAGCAGTCAAGTGCCTTAGGCACTACGCTACCAGAGCCCCTATAATGACCCTAGGTTAAAAAAAAAAAAAGTCACTGCCATCAAGTCAATTCAACTCACAGCAACCCCTCCTTGGGTTTTATAGGCAGTATCTCTACGGAAGTAGATTGCCCAGTCTTCCTTCCGAGGAGTGGCTGATGGGTTTGAACCACCAGCCTTCTGGTTAGCAACAAAACACTGCCCAGTTCTGCACCATCTTCATAGTTGTTGCTATGCTTGAGTCCATCATTAGAGTGACTGTGTCGGTCCATCTCATTGAGGGGCTTCCCCTGTTTTGCTGACCCTCTACTTTACCAAGCATGGTATCGTCTCCAAGGATTGGTTGCTTTTGACAACATGTCTGTTTTGGTTACTTCATGCCACTCTAACAGAAAATACCGCAGATGGGTGGCTTTAACAAACAGGAGTTTATTCTCTTACAGTTTATATAAGGAGAAGCTTTGGGAATGGTCTCTACCTTTTTTGGCACACTTAAAACCAGAATGTATCTAAGTCATTGTTTAGCAGCCAGCCATGCCCTCTTTACACAGAGGTAGTTGATATGATTCCTGTCTATTCCATCTGATGAGGTCCATGTGTACAATCACTGTTTATGTTGTTGAAAAAAGGTATTTGCAATGAAAAAGTCATTGGTCTTTCAAAATTATTTCATGTGATCTCTGGCATCATTTCTGTCACAAACGCCCTATTTTCCAACTTCCAGTGCTGCTGCTTTTGTTTCCACCTTTCACATTCCAGACACCAGTAATTACCAAAATATCTTGATTGCATGTTTGGCCAATTTCAGATGGCAGAAGTTGGTAAAAATCTTTAGTTTCTTCTTCATTGTCTTTAGTGGTTGGTGCGTGAATTTGAATAATAATAGTATTATTTCCTCATAGAAAGTAGCATTTTACGAACAGATAATTTGAAGTTAAAGAATTATTTATTTTATATTTTGGACACCTACAAATGAAATGGGCCTAGTTAAAATAACTGCAATGGATTGAGAATTCTGTTAATTTTAAATTTGTTGGTTGACTGTTGGGTTTTTCCTAAAATGAGAGATATTTTAAACTATTAAAGAATTTTCTAATAAGTTTCAGCTTTGCAGGCAGTTACCTGCATGAATAGGAGCTCTGGTAGCGTAGTGCCTAAGGCACTTGACTGCTAACCAGAAGGATGGCAGTTGAAACCCACCAGCCACTTCTCGGAAGGAAGGTTGGGCAATCTACTTCTGTAGTGATACTGCCTCGGAAACCCAAGGAGGGGTCACTGTGAGTTGACTCGATGGCAAATGACAACAACAACAACGACAACCTGCATAAATTGGGAAGTGACATTGGAAAGTAGAAGTTTGGTTAGTAAAGTGGGAAGACTGTGTATAATTTGCATGGTATTTGCAATTATTTTTCCTTTTTTTGTCACTAGTTACGGAATAGAAATGCAGGCTATAAAGATTCTCAGATATAAAGTATTTGCTAGGATGTTGTTGTTGTTGTTGTTGTTATGTGCCGTCGAGTCGGCCCCAACTCATAGCAACCCCTCCTTGGGTTTCCGAGGCAGTATCACTACGGAAGTAGATTGCCCAACCTTCCTTCCGAGGAGTGGCTGGTGGGTTTGAACCGCCAGCCTTCTGGTTAGCAGTCAAGTGCTTTATCCACTATGCTAGGATGTAGGGCAATGCAAATTAAAACCACCATGAGACACTACTTCACACTCCCTAGGGTGACTATTATGATAGATAGGTAGGTAGGTCGAAAGATAGAGTTGACGCATGAGGATGTGGACGCATGAGGATTGGAACTTCATGCACTGCTGGTGGAAATACTGAATTGTGTAGTCACTGTGAAAAACAATTTGGTGGTTCTTCAAAAAGTAAAACAGAATTAACACAGGATATCCACCATTTCTACTCCTAGGTATATACCCAAACAAATTGAAAGCAGGGACTCAGATACTTTTACATAAATGTTTATTGCAGCATTATGCATATTAGCCAAAAGTTGGACACAATCCAAGTATCCATGAACAGTGATGGATAATTTTGAAATTATAAAGAAAGTGTGATATATTCATATAGTGGAATATTAAGCCATGAAAAAGCAATGTTTGATACATGGTACAACATGAATTAACCCTGAAAACATTATGCTGAGTGAAATAAAACAGACACAAAATGAGAAACAGTATTTGATCCCACTTAATAGCCAAATGCAAGCAGTCTTTGGGTTACAAATGAGATCTGTTCTTAACTGTGTCTTTAAGAATTTGTAGGTCAGTCAGAACAGGTATGTACAGTTCTTACCTAACCTTCCTTTAGTACAAGGAAAGGAGCTCTGGTGGGGTAGTGCCTAAGACTGCTAACCAGAAGGGTGGCGGTTTAGACCCACCTGGCATTTTGCAGAAGGAAGACTGGGCAGTCTTACTTCCATAAAGATTTACCACCTCAGAAACCCAGAGGGGTTGCTATGAGTTGGAATTGAGTCAACGGCAGTGAGTTTGGTTTGGTTTTGGTTTTAGTAGAAGGAAAGGCTGTAAGGTTTTTCAGTGATATAAAAGCTGCACATGTAACAAGTGAAGGTGATTGTGAGGAAGAATTTGTTGCAAGTAGGGGTTGGTTCACTCATATCAAAGTGAGGGCAAATTTACCTAATATTAAAGGGCAAGTAGTTGTTTTCTGAAAGTGAGACGTTTGTAATCTGAGGACTGCCTGTACGTAAGCACCAAAGTAGATTAGTGCTTCCTGGGAAAAAGGGGAGAATGGGAAGTTATTGCTTAATAGGTATTAAGCTTTTATTTGGGGTGATGAAAAAGTTTTAGAATTAGATAGTGAGGATGGTTACACAACATAATTCAGTCACTGGTTTATACTCTTAAAATTATCACAGTGGCACATTTTATGTTAATACGGTATTTTACCACAATAGGATTGAAAAATAAAAAGCAAAGCTTAAGAGGAAAGTCAGAAAGTCAAAAAATGTGAGAAAGTTCTGAGAAACGAATCATGAGGGGGCAGGCAGGAGATTTTCAAAAATAGGATTCTGCCTGTGATAAAAGAGCCCTCAAAAACAAAAACGAAAAACAGGGAGGTGTGTAAAAAGCTGGGAGCCCTCTAATGAGGCCAGAGTAGAAGTGACAGAAGCAGGAAGATTGGAGGGGGTCTGAGAAGCCCTGTAACCCTAATAGAACTGTTTAGCCCTGAAAATAGTTAGACTGAGAAATGTCAAGGACCGTGACAAGTTAGAGTAGGAGGAAGAAGAGGATGAAGGATAGAGGAAGGACTTAGTACTGATGTTTTCTTTTACCTCAGATCCCAATATGGCTTGACAGAGCACTGTTTCCTAACTTTATTCGAATTTGTTTTGTTCATCATGGATCTTTTTGCACTAATTTAGATTTTTAAAATTACTGCATTAAAGTATTTCTTTTAAAAAATAAAAAAGACCTAGCTAGTATTATCTTCTGGTACTTCCTTACCTACTTGATCTGCTATAAATTGGTCCTACTCACTGCTGTCAGACTGGGAAAATTAAGAATAACAGATTACTGGATCCAGTAGTACTATCTAGCCAAATTTCCTGATTTTACAGATGAGAAATAGTGGCACAGAGTTTTTAAATGCTTGCTAAAAGTGGCCACAAAATTAGTGGTAAATTCAGACCCAGAACTGAGGTTTTCTAGGGCTGTGTTCTAAAATGTAATTTCCTCATTCAAAGCCATTGTTCATGTCATTTAACATACTTTTCTGCCACCCACATCTCCAGTTCAAATTCTGCTTTCTCTTTGAACTCTCTCCTTAGTGCTTCAACCCCAAAATCTCTAATTTCTCTTTAGTATATCTTGCATTGATCTCTCATTGATCACTATATATACCATACTGCTGTACATCTTATGAGGGCTCAATAATTCTTGTTAATTTATTACTAATATAGTTTTCTTGACTAATCCACTGCTTTAGATAACTGAGATGATAAAATAGTGGGCAAACAGAAAACTATTTTAAATTAAGTCATAAATTTTTTTGAGTTTCGTGATTTCCTATATCTTACTTATCTTAATTATTACATTATGGAGGTCTTTTTTTTTTTTTTTTTTTTTTTTCTTTTAATAAACATTTCTTAAGCCCAGTTCTCAATATTTTTCTTTTTCAGGTCAAGTTCCCTTTTTAATACTGGATTCCTCAAAAGAATGTTAGTTGAATCTCTTCACCATGGTTTAGATGACATTCAAACCCTAATAAAGACATTAATCTTTGAATCAGAATGTACTCCTCAGAGTCAGTTTTCAGTTCATCCATCTTCAAATATCAACAAGCAAGGTAAACACTAGATTATAAATATCAAAAATACTATATGGTTTTTATCTTTACTTGATTTTATAATCAAAAATAATTATAAATAATATACTTTAAATAAATCCTCTCTAATCTCTAATAAGTCTAATCAGTATCTAGTTTTTTAAGTTTTTTTCCCCCCAGGTTTATACTCAGGGGCCTGAAATTAATAATAAATTTATTAAAATAATTATTTTTCATTTCACTAAATAAAAAAAAAAACTCAAAGTCTTTTTTGTTTTATTATCATATATCTGTTTTCTAGAAAGAAAAACCTTAGATAATTCTAAGAATATTATGGCTTTAAATTTTGGTAATGTCCATTGGACACAGAAGATAATATTTGCATTTATCACTCAGTAAAGTTTTCTTCTTTCTCTTTAATATAAATGGGCTTTTGTAGTCTTATGTGGCTATTGGTATAAGAATGGGCCTGTTAAATATCCTAGCTTTTCCATAAGTAGTTTAGAAGTTGCTTTCTTAGAAGCAGCTGCTGTCATGATTTTGAAAAGTAACTTTTTATGTGTGATTTCACTGAAAGTTTATAGAGCCAATTGGTTTACCATTCAAGAATTCATACACATTTTGTCTTGTGGCATTCATTGCATTCCCCACAATGTAACAGCACTTTTCCCACTTCCTCCCTGTTTACCATTTACATACATCCTTTACTATCCCTTCCTCCCTTCTTAGCTTTATCCCTAAGCAAATGCTACCCTTTTGATCTAGTATAGTTGATTGTTCTAAGCAGTGTGTGCCTCCCTAGCATTCTTGTTTACCTTGTAGGCCTATCATGTGGCTGAAAGGTGAACCCTAGGAGGGTGAGTTCAGTTCCAGGCTTGAAGGGTGCCTAAGGGCCCTAGTCTTGGGGGTTCCTCCAGTCTCTATCAGATAAGTAAGCCTGAGTTTTGTTGCACATTTTTCTTCCACGCTATCTGGGACCTCCTGTTGTGATACCTTTCAGAGCAGTCAGCAGTGATAGCCAAGCACCATCTAGTTTTGGTCTCAGGGTTGTAGAGGCTGGGGTTCAAGTGGTCCATTAATCCTTTGGACTGTTTCCTTGTGTCTTTGATTTTCTTAACTCTTTTTTGCTCCGGACCGGGAGAGAACAACAATTGCACCTTAGTAAAAAAGTAATTCTTTTTTTTTTTTTTTTTTTTTAATTGTGATTTGGGTGAGTTTATGGAGCAAATTTGTCTCATGACATTGACTACAATTTACAACAATGCAACAGTTCCCCTCCCACTTCCTTCCCATAGTTACCTCTTCCCTGTGTCCTTCCCTCCATGCACTCCTGCCACCTGAGCTGTATCCCTCTGCACACACAACCCAGGATCTCCTACATAGATCCCCCTCCCCCGAGTGGTTAACAGTGGTAGCCAGGCACCATCTAGTTCTTCTGGTCTCATGTAAAAAGTAATTCTTGCAGATTGTTTTGGTCTTACTATCTCCTGTATTTTCATAAAAGCTGTGTGGACTGAATTTCATAAACACATTTAAATTTTGAATTGTTTAATATCATTTTGCTAAACTATTTTGCTACTCTCATTTGTTTTCATTTTAGAAGAATGTGGCGTATATACTAAAACTACAGATGATACCACAACAGATAATTACATTGCACAAGGTATGTATTTCAGTACACACACACACACACAAAATCTGTGTACATATTTATGTATGTATGTATCAACACAAAAAGAAGGGTAGCAGAAGGGCAGAAAGAAAAGAGATTTCCTTGGTAGCTATAAAAATGGTATGGTGGGGGCATCTGATCTCCTCTAACTTTATCAGCAGGGAGGAGGATCATGAACAACAGCCCAAGGCTGATTCCTGTGAGATGGTGGGCAGCCATACCGCCACCCTTCAACCTTTTTATCAATTCTGACACCAGCCATCCCTCCCACGCGCGCTCTACTTCTCTGCTTCATTCAATAATCCATTAGCAGTGGCCAACAGATTTCACAGACAATGATTACAGGATTTATTAGGGAAGTAACTGGTACAGTTCAGGGCAAGGAACAATCAGGATACAGTTCTTCATCAGGACAGCCTTCTCTTGACACTCAGCCTGTCAGCCTAGCCTTTGCTTAGCTCAGGCAAACATTACAAAGCTCTTTTAGCTCTGCTGAAAAATGCCTAAACATCCCACTCCAACAGTAAGCCTGCTGCTGGAAAGCACTCAGCTTTCTCACTCTGTAGGCTGGGAAGCCCAACACTCTTGTCTTATGTAGTCTCTTGGTTCTGTTGCTGCGTTCCTCTGCCGCTGCTTCTTGTCATCCCTGGTGTTACATTTCTCATGTCTCCTGAATCTAGGAGTTTCAGCACAGGGATCCTCAGGTCTAAAGGATGTGCTTCACCCTTGGCTCTTCTTTCTTGATGATAGTGGGATTTCCCTCTTTCTGGCTCTGGGATGGCTCATTTTAAACCTAGCAGGATGGCAGAACTGACCAATCCCCACATTAGGGTTCCATACCTCTTATTGCATGATCCTACCACAATAAGGATACCGTGCACCTCATTTACATTATTAACAAGCTAGCCAGTTCCCTTGGTAGGTCATAAGCACCTCACATTTGCATAGTCACCCAGTCATCTGATGGGAGTCACAAAGAGCATGGCTAGAAGGGCCATACCAAGCAATTCAATGCACCACAGTAACCTACTTAAAAATGCATTTTCCTATTATATTGATAACATAGTCATAGTAAAACTTATCTGGCACTCACCAAGTTCAGTATTTCTGTTAACACATACTTTGTTTACATTTCTCAATATGAAGTGATCCTTTAAAATACTGTAAGATCTTGAAAAGAACCATGTGAACCAAAATAAGATTAAACTATATTTAATAAAGTTAAAGTATTAGATTTTATTCTATTGCAAATTTGTATCAGAAGATATTCACATTTAAAATGTCAGTGCCTTAATATTTAAGGCTTTGTTTTGCTTTTGTACTGAATTTAAATGTGTTTTGGATACAGATAAAGAATACAGACAATGTCAAAATTGAAAGTGCAGAGTATTGTAATTATAAACTCTAACTTTGTATTAGTTGCTCATCATTTTAGTGTTGACCTTCAGAGATGGGAAGACTCAAACTCCTATTTATAACGTGGTGATATAACTGGTGCGTGTGCTTTGCAACTATCATGTTTATTTGGCATCTTCAACTAGCTTGCTAACGGTCAAATCTTGGAAATGATTTATTCTACTTCTCTGTTGGAAAGAAGAGAGAGAGAGATTATGCTATACTGCAAAGAGCAGTAAACCAAAACCAAGCCCACTGTCACTGAGTTGATTTTAACTCATACAACTCTAGAGAATAGGATTTCCAAGGCTATAAATCTTTACAGAAGCAGACTGCCTCATCTTTTTTCCTGTAGAGTGTCTGGTGGGTTTAAGCACAAGGCTTTAACATGATGCCACCAGAGCTCCTTAAAGAGCACTAAGCAAAGCATAAATCAGTCTCAACAAGATTTAAAATCCCTAAACATTTCTCATATATAAATTAAGGGACGTAGACTAACTGTATGGGTTCTTCTATAGCTCTAAAATGATGATTATTCTGACATCTATCAGTACATAATACTTTACATGGTAAATGGAACATACTGGGCAAAAACAGATCCATGGACTGTTGGTAATAGTCACTATCAAGGTATTCTGTTGGATTTAGATTTTCACACTTTTCTAGAACTTCTACTAAATCAAAACCAAAACCAAACTCATTGCAGTTGAGTCAGATCCAACTCATAGCGACCTCTCCTTGGGTTTCCCAGGCAGTATCACTACAGAAGTAGACTGCCCAACCTTCCTTCCGAGGAG